ATAATGATTTGTAATACTGTATGTATAATTTGTTAAATTATAACAATAGAATTGTGTTCAAATGATATCCAATGATATTTTTTAACACATTATCTGTTGAGAAATGTTACAATGCGTACAGTGATTTAATAAATTTATATAAAACAACATAGCATAAATAAAACTATGATTTAGTTTACTAATTGTTGTATTTGTGGATAACTGGTAGTATGATTTGGGGTTTATTAGCTGTTTAATTACCCATCTTATGTTGTATGTTGAGATGGTTGAAATTTTGTTCGTGAAATATTTTTTCAACTATATTTGTAGTTAAGTGTTAGTTTGATAGTCTTTCGATGTTTGGTAAAATAAAAGTTGATGTTTTCATACATCCTGATAATATACTAAAGATGATATTACCATTGCTGATTTTATTAAGCTAATGTACAACATCCTTATTTTGACTTTAACACTTGTCTGACTTCAGTATTAGGCATTCCATCAGTTAGTTTGATCTTTTAAGAATATAAGGTTTTAGTAAAATTACATGATTATACCAGTAAAAGAAATGAGAGTGGTAATACCTTTGATAATAAAATGTTCAAGGTGCTACATGTATGAATTAAGACCAATATACATAGTAACTTTACAAGACTGCTGTATGTAGCGAGGATTAATTACACTTTGTAATTACACTGTTCTACTTTCCTTTGTGTTGCAGTTGGAACTATCTTCTCCATCATCAGTCATGCTCATTCATATAGACATGGTTATGCAATATCATCCAACACTGCAATTTCATTTTAATAAGCTTCTGCAAAGGATGGCAAGGTTAATCTTAAGCCAGTTTCTGCATATCTTCCATTGCATAGTACTGAAAAACAAAATATTTCCCCATGCTGGTTGCATTATTTTAGCTATGCCCACCTATATTTGCCAGCTGTGAGTATATTCAAACATCTGTTTTTTAGTTGTGATGTAGCTCAGAAACTGTACATTCTGAGACATAGGCTTCTTTGTCATAGAAATGATCAAAGTAGCTGCTGACATGGGCCTCATATAGATATCATATTGAGTAAATAACAGCACTGGAGCGTAAGAGGATAGTAAAGCAGTTATCAATGTCATCTTCATTACTGAGGGATTGGTCATGTTATAAACATGGATTGTTAACTTCATTAACCCGATGACTACCGGCTACTAACTTTCTTAGTAGGCAATGCAAGTCTTGCTATATTTCATTCCAACAATAAAACTAGTGGATGAATATCTTTGAAAATTCATAAGTACTTTGACAAATGTAGGTAGTTTAAGAAACATAAAGCCTATTACTTTTAATAAATTTTGTTTTTTGCATTATGATCTTTAATATCTTGGAAAATTACATTAGGAAATCGTATTTATAAGAAATGATTACAATATTTATATTTGCTACAGATTTGAACTTATTACTTTTTATGTTTTAGTACAT